CACCTTAATATTAATTAAACAAAACAATCATCTTTACAGTGTCAATATTAGTTTAATTTAGCTAGTTAAATGTACAAGTGATAGAGAAGTTTTTTTATGGTTTGGTTTGTAAGGGTTAGTTATGTTTTTACGAGTTGATCACGGATTGATATCAATTAGAGAACCATTGAAAACCAGGGAGTACTGGACAGCTGCTGTTTCATCCTAATTTTGAGAATCATCAGTACGCACCCACTGGGATTCGACCCCAGGACCTTACGGTTACAAGGCAAGCTCGTATACCACTCAGCCACTGGGACCCGATTCAATGGCCAACCTAGGAATTCTAACATCTACCAATTCATGATTTAGCGCCAGTGACTTGCTACAGGATGGAGTTTCCTGGAGTTCTAGTGAGAAGTCGTGACCAGTGAGGTCTAGTTAGATGTCCCGTGTGTGGATGAATGTCCTACCAACGACAATGGTTGGGGTCGCGCTAAATCACGAATTGGTAGATGTTAGAATTCCTAGGTTGGCCATTGAATCGGGTCCCAGTGGCTGAATGGTATACGAGCTTGCCTTGTAACCGGAAAGTCCTGGGTTCGAATCCCAATGGGTGCGTACTGACGATGACTCCCAAACTAGGACGAAACAGCAGCTATGCAGTACTCCTTGGTTTTCAATGGTTCTCTATTAGATATCAATCCAAGATCAACTCGTAAGTTTTTTTTTTACCTCGGTTTGATTTGTTTTTGATGTGTGGTTCTATTCACTGAGATGGGTGATTTTCATTTGCGAAGCTTTTAGAGTCTTTCCAGACAAGGTGAAGAAAATCTTCAGTGGAGACTTCACACTGAAGTCAAACCACAACTACACTGAATCCACATATGGATGTCATTGAATTCTGTACGCCATAATGAATTAAAGAGAGGACACTTGCTTATGTATTAATAAAAATCTATGGGTAGTATTGTTTCAATGGATACATAGAATGTAATAAAAAAATGACCTATCTAGCGGATAGTCTCTCTGCACAAAGAGAACTGTTAGTTCATTAAAGGATAAATACTGGGAGAAAGTTCACTCTGATCTACGAAAAAGTATACAGTTTTATGCATGCACACCACCATACGGTGTAAACATGTGTGTATTTTACCTCCGATAGGCAGGTAGGTAGGTGAAATATCCTCCTTGCAAATTGCTTTACTATCAGTTAATATCTACATCTTAAATGAAATTAAACATTGGGAGAATAACTAACTCAGTTCCTGCGTAATACATCCATCCAGCCATCCACATACATACAAACGGACATACGCATTATAATTATCCAATTAGCATAAAATACCGAAACTAATTGTAACATACAATGAATAAAATTGAGAAATGTGTTGAATGTTGTTAAGGTTAATTATAGCGAATAAAAGAAAAAAGAAGGTTAACAGAATGATCAGATTACTGATCCACTGTGAATCATCAAATTGATGAGACATATTGCACAAAACACCTACACACAATTCACTAATTGACATTGTACGCTACGCTTGCAATGGAATCCAAAAGGCAGGTTCACTCCTGTTAGGGTTTGCGCCTAACTGATGAGTTCCGAATAGGACACCGTGGTTATTCAAAATTCCACCTTATCTACTCAGGAACATCATAAAACCTCGAGAATTCATTTTAGAAGTGTCCATAATAAGAGCTGACGTGTCGACAGCAGGAATTTCAATAACAATCACATCAACAAAAACAGCCCCATAGGCCTATAGAGGGTTGTCAATTTCGTGAAAAGAATACGATTAGTTCTACCACCATATTATTGCCTGATAAAGTCAGGTTGCAAGTGTAGTCCGATGATGAGACTACCACCAAATTTGTACACACCTTAACTAGAAACTATTGCTTGGTAACAATTAGTGCTGCTATCTTTTTAAAATTATGTAGATTTTTGAATTAAAATGGTGGATGGTGACTAGTAGTACAATGCAGGATGCTCATTTCGTCTTACTTGGGACTTATCATCCGGGTGTGCCTGAAATCCCCAGTGAAAGTGTTCCCTCTGAGGCTAGGACCCGACACCCATAGTTTCGAACGCCAAAGATTTACTCACTAGACCACTTGTGGATCGCGAGTGCCACCTATTTGTACAACGGTAATTATTTGATTCAATTTAAACTTTCCCTTTGACTGATTTGATCGAAGTACTAAACACCTCACGATGACATACCGGCTCCTTGTTCAGATGCTTCAACGATGTTTGGTCATGTAACTTGAAATGAATTGGTATAGATTTCTGCCTGAGGTGATATTAATAGTAATAGTATATGTACAGATCATGTGCACTTAGTGTTCAGTAGTCACCACCAATCAAGATTTTTTCTATTTTTTTTTGATTTACAGCTTAATTCCACACTGTATTTTTGGTACAAGTATGGAATTTTCAGCATGGATATCGGTAGCCCAAATTTTGCAGGCCGACCATAGATATCAGGCGTGCGCCGGCGTGGGCTCGAACCCTGGACCATGTGCATGGTCGGCGAGAGTCCTAACCACTGTGCCACCGACGCTGTAAACACACAGAAGTAGACTAAGAAAGATGACAAGTTACTCGTATTTCATTTTATCTCTTTTCCTGATCAAGTTAAACTAGCCCTTTTATGGTTATTTTATTCAACACACCTGTTTAATGACACGCAGAATATAAAAAAATGAAGAAGTTCAGGACATGTTCTGACACAGTATTTTGACGTAAAATTACTCAATTATTGAATAGATAATATCAAACCAAATACAGATACTAATGTGACGTATGCTGCCGATAAGATTTGTCAGTAGTATATATAAAGAGATGTTCATCGGCATAAAAAACACCGAATAGCCGGCAGATAGATTTGATGTCACGGAAAGCAAATGATACAGATTGGTGAAGATACATGGGAGACGTAAAAAGGAACACAAAGAAACACAATACGAAGATTGACAGAAGTAGCACAATAAGGAAGATCTGTGCAAATGGCACGTAGAGGATAAGGTGTACATAATTCCCTTATATAGAGATACAAAATTCCAAATAAACATTCCTTTACCAAGTCTCTTGTCTTCTACCGCTACACTAATTTTTTGACTAACATATTGAAAACGTTGATAGAATTACGCGAAGATAAACACTTTTTCGAAGACTGGTCACGGACTAACTTCAATTAGAGTATCATTGGAAAACTAGGATTTAGTTAACAGTTGTTTCGTGCTTGTTTGAGACCCCTTAACACTACTCCAAGTCCTTAACAAGGACGATGACACTGACTGGCGTTTAAGCTATTTCGAGAATTGGTAAAAGTTAGGACTGATAGAACACTGAATAGTCTTAGAGCTCGCATTGTAGGGTGGGTTTAATCCCCTGGTGGGTGCACACTGATGAAAGGTCCCAAACAAAGGCGAAGCAGCTATGCAGCACTCTACTGTTGGTTTTCTTTAGTTCTCTAACTTAAGTTGATTCATGATGAATCTTGAAATCAATCAAATCCCTGCAAACTAATACTTGTAGATTCATTCTTTTCCAACTGCTTTCCGATCATCACGAAACTGACATCCGAGTTAATAAATCATGAAATATCAGACAACACTGGGTACAGGTGTTTTGTTTCCGGCTTGGATATCAGTCTAATGCTCACGAAAGTTGCTGGCTCCAAGAAAGATATTTCCCGAAGTACCGAACACCAGTGGAGAGAACCAATTCGAGGGTGAAAACATTGCGAAAATAGCTCTGTGGGTTTCTTTTCAATTTCATGTCTTATTAACCTTGAATTAGTTTATCACCTTCAGTGTAGTGATAGGCTTTACATATTCGGTTAATTATTACGGAAATGACTTAATTATACGAAGAGTTTTCGGTAACTCTGTTTATCTGACGATTTTTTCTTAGACTTTAAACAAAAAAGAACTGGTATGTTTCAATGATGCAGGTTCTTCAAACACAAAGGAGGTTCGGGTTCGACTCCCACCCGACGCGATCTTTAAAACTCACCTAATGAATAGTAAGCCCGAAAAAGAGGGAACATTGGATGTGAAACTAGCCACTCCACCCAGTGAAAACAAAATAACAATACTGGTGCTGGAAATTTAAAAGGCTGAAGCCCTATGTTCCATTTGGAACGCAAAGAAATAGAAAGAAAATACTAATCAAATCAATCAGGATACTATTATTGCTCCTTTTAGTCTTTGATAAGAATTACAATGTAATTAGTAATGGGATGATTACTTTCTAGATCCTATCCTATCTATTGTCTATGGCTTAAACGTTGGAGTAGCTTTTCATGTAGACCAATAAACTATTAAACAATGTAAAGTAATTGTTCTTATTCTTTTTCGTTCTGAGTGGAACATAGGACTTCAAGCTTGAGCTTTGAATTTTCAGTAGCAGTGGTTTTATTCTTTTCTATTAGGATGGGGTCGCTAGTCTCAGGTGTAAACTTCCCTCTTTACCAGGCTCACTTACCGGATAAGTGAAGTTTACGACTGGGTTGGCCAGGGGTCGAGACCCCGAACCACGCACGTCGTTGACGAGTGTTCGACTACTGGACTGTCGACGAACATCATTCAAAATCTAAACCTATGAAATTTATAATTAACTTATAAAATAAGATGCGATGATGGATATTATTATTAATTGTGTAATTCAGATTTTGGGTTTTGTAGAGATTTTCATTATTTTCAATGTAGATCTCGTCACCAGCCGATATCAATTAGAGAGTCACCGAAGGAACAAGGAGCACACTGAACAACTGTTCAGTGATAGTTTGTGAGACTCATGAAATATACTCACTCAAATTAGAGATGAAACAACTGCTCACTGTGCTCCCTGATTCCAATGATTCTCTAACTGATCTTGATCTACGCAGAAATAACTTTGTTGATACACCTCTAGAAATAATCAGCTGTAATACTTTGGCCTTTAAAAAAAGAAAAAAGAAAGATGGCGAAAAAACAGACAAACAGACAATCAATGCACACACTTAACTCACCTTTTGAATCGATTATTTTTCCTACTAGACCAAGTTCGCCAAATGTCCGACCATCTGAACCAACATGTCCAATATGCCGAAAATCATTCTGTGGAAGACTGATTTGATCGGCTGTAATTTTTCCACGTGAACGTGAGGTATTATTATTATTATTCATACCATCAGAAGGTATGATAACACTGAGTTTACTGAATCGAGATACTGTTTCTGTGTACGCGAAAGTAAAACATGAAAGAAATTTGAAAACAAAATCAATATCAATATGAATGTAGCGAAGATAGAAACAAGTTAAGCAGTCTGTTAAATTGCAAAAAACCTTCTGCTTTAACAAAATAACGAATCAACAGGTAAAGGACTCAGTGGTCTTAGCACAAAATGTCATATTATATATATATATGTATATATATATATAGGGATGTTAATGTCTGTATGGTTCATTAAACACCTATTAAATGGCCTATTGTCACTCCTGTAGAAAAATATAATTCATCTGTACAAAGATGTGGTTAAGCTAGGCAGTTATTCGGTCAGATGAAATCTTAAGCGACATATGACTGTAAATTAGACCAATAAAATATTAACAACTGTTAAAATTCATTGCTTTCTAAGTGGAACATGGGGCGTGAGGAACATATCTCCATTGCATTGTATTGTGTTCTCTGAAATCACTTTCAGCAATTCACCACAATCTTTCATTTCATTTTAACATGATCTTCTCTGTGTTATCGTTAGATATCTAACAAGTTTCTTTCCATTCAGGTTCCATTCGGGAGCCTGGGTGGCGTGTGATGTCACATAAGTGCCTCTTCAGCGTATATCGAATCAGTTCATACTTTCTTTTGCATATTGATTGAGCGATTGATTTTTAACTGGTTCTCTGTCAGAGTAGCTTGTTGATGATTATGTTCTCTGGTCATCTTCCAATCCTAAGCCTGGGAAAAGGATAGGATTTGACGTGAGGCTAGCAACCATACTCACATCCATCATTAGGAAAAACCTCATTGCACGAAAACAACTAAGTGTGCGGATTTATCAGTAATATCAGGTTTGCATACAACTTATCAAATCTTTGAGGCATGAGAAAAATCAGGTATACGGTGGAGCATCATCGAAGAAACTATATGTTGTTTTAGGTGGAAAATATGTTACGGGAAAAAGGGGAAGAAAAACTATCACTAGATCTGGAATTTTAAAAAGGAAAAAAAATGCTAACAGATGTTAAAGCATTTTTGTCAGACATTATGTAAATACTTTGTGAATATCAATCATGCATATGTATATATCTCCATGTGTGAATAATAATTCCATATTTTTCAGAACTGAAAAACACGACTATCTAATAGAATCAAAAATGATCTTACAATCGAATAAGTAAAGAATACGGCCATTAGGTTACTGAATTAATCAAAGGCTGAGGACTGGTTCCCATTTGGACATATAGACCAGGGTTACGCACGTTTGTCTGTGGTATTCTAAGTGAACCAACCGAAGGCCATATAAATGATATTGAAGAGACTACTTAGTACCGCGTGTTTATCAAGAGCTCGAACTGTTTGGTCCACAGAAATGAAGGGCCTTAAGTGTATTATCTTGTCTACGGAACTTTAATCTTCAAAGACCTATCCATTCACCGTATTTTATTATCTATCATTTATTGATTACGATGAAATCAATCTCCCATGCCGCCCCCCCCTTATCTACATTGCTAACCATAACAAATCCTGTTGTACGAGAAATTTTCTTCTGAAAAGACATATACTGCTGACATCTCAGTGTCGAAAAAATTTTTGGATTCACATTTCTACCAAATAAACTGAAGTGTGCATTTTTTTTTAACTGGTGATAATTTCAATGTCGATTTCGTCACCGACCAACCCGGCGGTAACGCCATTGCCTGGAGTTAGAAAATCCATGGGTTATTGAATTCTAACCCAGCGGCTAAATGACCAACGGGATGGCCTTTGAGTTCTACTCACGGTGGAGTACACACTGATGAAAAGTCCTAAACAAACAAAGACGAGATAGATACCACCCAGCGCTCTTTGATCTTCACTGATTTTCCAACCGATGTCGGTTCATAACAAAATTAATCACAACGCCAATTCAACATCAAATCTGAATCGGTTACCAGGCAATGTGATAAATATAACAGACTCCACGACGCGGCTGAAGACAAAAAACAACGTAAAACTAACTTATATAATTCAGTATGAATATTTATTTGAGTTCATTTTTCTGCAACTTTTAAATTGACCTGTCTGTCAGTATGTTTATTCCTTTTACCATTCTTCAGGTTATCTATAGATTTTGCCTAATGAGGTGGAAAAAGCGCATTAGTTCACACTGCCAAACTTCGCAAACGTAATGAAAAGAAATGCAATAGACTAGAATAGACGAAATTTAGTAAGAACATTTCGAACCCGTACAATAGCAGAGAGTGAATCAATCTACGCCACTAAGAATGATTTTGAGCTACGCCACTAGGAGTCTTCACTTATTGATTCTTAGCATCACAAGAACTCTTCACTACTTTATATGGTTGAAACCAGTAATCAGGCATATCATAGATTAGTGTTATATTTCCAATAACACTGGTTTTTGAGAATGCTATTCAGGAGACATGCGTAACATGCACCCTGTCCATCTGGATCGATCAAACATCGTTATCATGGATACTGAACGAAATCACATAGAAGTGAAAAGATTAATCGACTCACCATGGAATAAGAATAAAAGTAGGGTGTGATGAAGAAGAAGAACAAAGCCTTCAAACTATACGGCATATAACCAATGTTAGTTACACAGATTTCAGGTAAGTTTAACTTAATTTTTTAACTGATAATATTATACGTGTGAATATATATATATATATATATATATATATATATATATATATATATATATATATATATATAGCATACTAAGAACTTGGAAAATAAAACACAAACACTAGCGTTAATTCAAGCATTATAATATGCACAGAATGAAGGCGAACGAATATCAACAAGCGAACAAAAAAGTTGGAAGGAACAGGAAAATAAACAATCAAACAGACAAATAAACAAAAATAGTGAGAAAAAAACCCACGAAAATGAAATGCTAATTTTAGACAATGAATGCAAAAGGAGAGAGAAGAAACAAAAATAATAGAACTGCATGAGAAGAGAATCAATTAGTAATGTTATTCTCTCTTTCGTTATTTAAAATCTATTTGCATACAAAACAAAGCACAACACAAAATGAAAAAGCCCAATTTATGTTATAATTTTGCATACACTGACATTCATTATCAATGAACCAATTAGTGTGAGTAGATTAGTCTGAAGTAATGACTGAAATAGTGAAGGAATTCATAATCATTATGGTAGGCAGGATGGTTGAACAGGGGTTGTCTCACATTACTGTCATGAGCTGCAGCACTCAACTCTCAGTGACTGATATTAAACAGAGACTGAACAGTAAACGAGTAGTAACATATCTAACTGCAACACTATGTGACTGAAGAAGGTCCCTATCGCAGAAGGAGAGAATCAGCTCGTTCGAGGTGCTGTCGAATGGGACCTAGCTCCAAGGTTTCACCTAGCATCAAACTGAAACCCAACTAGGTGTGCTACATATATTCTCATAAAGGTGTTGAATTGATGCGTGAGGCGAATCACAAACAATTTCTATGCTCTAGAAGAAGTGATTACTAATAATCCTTGGGAAATACTATCAATGCCTTTGTAAATTAGTGAAACCTTGCAACCACAATTATGTCATGTAACGGTGGAGAACGATTAGAAATAATTGTTGACTGCCTGGATGTAGAATGCCCAAATCAATTAGACCGTAGATCAATTAGCCCATAACTAATTGAAATACACTAAGCTGTCTAGAAATAAATGAATTTAGTAACTGTGATCCGATGTCTAGTCTAATTTGCCAAATAGATCATGGGTTCAAATCCTACAACAACTGTTAGCAAGTCATATAACTTTGTTATCTTTCACGATTCTACACAAGCACACACACACAAAACAATATTAATATTGGTGGGAAATACTAAGATGAAGAGGAATCAAGTAGCACTACTAACAGACCTCATATTAACAACAGCAGTAGTAATAGTAGTAGTATATTAATAGTACTTCGAAAAAGTACAGACAAATCTCATTCCAACCCCCTCCACCCAATATTTACTTATAAAGTTAACAAAGTCATACAAACAAAAAGCATTCTGTAAATCACAAAGCATATATAAGCGCATAACATAACATTCAATAAAAAAGAAAAACTTACTACGTATAGCCAAGTCAGTTAGTGAAGCTGAATTCAGATTATAAGAAAATTCTACTTGTAGGCAGAAATCTTTAATGGTAATAAATTAAATACATTTATTACGTAGTATTATGACCAGTTGAATTGGCCGTGTTCTCTGAGCTAGTTGGTTGATTTACCTGCGAAGCTTTCGTTATTTACTTTCCAGAGAACACCTTAAGCTCAGGCGTTTTATGCTAAAGCTTGAGATGAAGACGAAAGCTTAACAGTTAAATTAACCAATCAGCGCAGAGAACACAACTAATTCAATATCATTCACCTGAGTTACAACTATTTTCCATTATTTCAGTAGTATGACCAGTTGAATAATGACTTATATGGGGAGGGGCGGGAGAGAAGACTTGTAGCACAGGTATAAGGATAAAAACTGTCTGACTGATGTTCTCTGGGCGTTCACCTTTAGTTGGAGACAATGTTGTATCAGAACCAACGTCTCATTGACAAGCAATCATCATCAAACCAGAGGATGAGATGTCCACGATCAAATATCAAAATCACAGCAAACATCAAAAATCATATACAGTGAATCACATTTACTTTTGTAAAAGAAAAATGCAGACAGTGGATATTACACAGAGACTGATAAATTGTTCATTAAGAAATATAAATATTCTAAATTTGCTGAAGTATGCCGTATATTAAATTATTACTATTATTATGACCCGTTCCTTGCATTTTGGGAGGTGATCATGGGGCTTTAGCGACATATATTGGTCGTTTGCATTGATCACTTTCAGTCAACTCTATGAGCCGTACACAAGCTTTCATTTTTACGTTATACAGTGAGTTTGTATCAAAGATAATTAGACATAGGCAAAGATGACAAGTTTGTGTGTGAATGGTAGAATGTCAGTGAGTTCTAGCCAAACACTACTCGCGAGAGACAGATATCCATTGGACTGCAGTTGTGATAAGGACTGTACTAAAAAGTGCGCGATTAATCACTTGCTGTGATACGCTGGACAATCTAATGAATTAAATCCGACACAGAAACACATTTTGATCCATTTTATTAGAACCATTAAGGCAAAGTAAATCAACTTCAGTGGGGGAAATATATATGATATACAATGAAGAACAAAGAGACTAGGAATAGTTTGACTACTTCTTATAGTACTTGTCAGCAAAACATATCGTGGCAGATCTAAGGAAACTTTTCCTTTCATTAATCATTTAACACATACTGTGACGAGTACTACTGATAAGATTTATCACTAGTATATATAAAAGACGTTCATCGGTACAAAAACATCAAATAGCAGGGAGATACATTTGACGTCACAGAAAACAAATGATACAGTGTTGTGAAGATACATGGGAGACGTGAAAGGAACACAATACGAAGTGGGGCAGAAGTAGCACAGCATGAAGATCTGTGCAAATAGTGATTTGAAGATAAGGTATACATAATTCGGCTATATAGAGATACCAATTTGCAAATAACCGTTCCTTTACCGTTTCAACACAACAAACAAAATAGATGGCTGTCAGTCAGACATTCGCATCTCTACCATACGTATGGGTAAACAGTTTTATTAAATGTCTACTCTCTTGAGCGTTAGCCTACAAAATAAAATAAAACACTGTGTTAATACAATAATAATCTCTGTCTACTAACCTCTTCTACTCATGCGCAGACGAGTTTTCGCTACTAATCCCAGGGTATTTGAATTTCCAGAAGTATTATTATTATTATTGTTATTCGTAGCTGATGTTTGATCACGAAATGATGAATCTTTTTCGCATGTATACGGTTTTAAAATACTCGATGGAATGCAACCAACAAGACCAGTACGTAAATTGACTACTTTCCATGTTGTACTACTTCTACAAAAATTAAAAGGAAAGAAAAGAAGGAGAATAGAAGAGGTATTAGAACTTACAATGAACTCAACAACAACAACACCAACAAAGCTTAAAATATACACCTTAGACATTAAATATCCTCAGATGTGGTAAATAAGAGTTTAATAAATTCTAAGCCAAAATGTTACAGACCGTTGACTTTCAACTACTGGAATTCTTCTCCAGTGACAATGATCATATTATTTTCTGTGTCTATATATAACTAAAATTAAAATATGAAATGCCTAAGACAGTTTATACAGTGTCTAGAGAATTTTTGTTGTCACACTGAGAGAAGTACCACAGAGTCAGGATGTTACTTTTTTCAACTAAAGATATCAGTAACCTTTGATATGAAAGAGTTGGTTGTTGGTCATCAATACCATTACCCCCGTACTGCACATATAGTTTTCCTCTCCTTTTTTCACGTGTATATCACAATTAAATAAATATTGAGACGTGGATTTTTGATTTAAGCACTCGACTTTCGGTCAATAGGTCTCAACGTGCACAATCCCACTTCCACCTACTACAACTTGAGCAGTTAAGCAGTGTCTCTTGATATGTACCCATATAATATGTGTGTTTTGTTTGACAGTCTGTCCTTGGTGACATGTATCCATATAAATTGTGTGTTTGTTTGACAGTCTGATATATTTTGCTATGTATATATGGATCGATATTCCATTATAATTAGCCAACCATGTTAAGACTGTCTATTGATTTGTTCATTTTGAATATTCGCTTTCACACTTGTGTTCACACACTTGTTCGGACATTCACATATATTTTTTGCTCTCACACTCATGTGTGACATATTGATTCTCCTGGTGTTTTGGAAAATAGAAGTATCATCGCAAACCTAGTGGTCTTCTGATTTTCGTCTTGCGTCAGGACTATTAAATTCTCGACCAGTACATAACAATAATTTGGCGACGAGTACATAATATCTCTAACCTTGATAAACTATTTGTGACTCATATTATTATTTTATCATTTCCTGTGGTTACGAAAGGAACACCACATCTACATTTTGTCCTATTCTCTGCAGTCCTCATCAGCTGGCCGCGTGATTAGCCGTTGTGTCTCAGCTTCTCCACATACAAGATCGCCTCAGTGTCACCCTCGGACTCACGCCCAACTCACCGTTTTTCATTCGAGTTGCGCTCAATGGCCTGGTGGGCGATATCATCCGACAGCCTCCTTAGCGTGTGTCCAATCCATCTCCATTTACTTCGGGATCTTTGTTGAGCAATAGGTTCTTGATCGGTTCTTTTCCAGGGTTTCTTGTTGGCAATGCTTTTTCTCTGGCTGTCTGATCCTCATTACGGAGGCAGAGAATGCAATTGTCCATAAAAGTGTGCGCTTGATGCACCAAGTCTCCGATCATATAGAGGGACTGACTTAACACTGGTGTTGAAAATCCAAATCTTGTTATTTCTGCTGAGTTAGTGTAACAGATTTCCAAATTGATTTCAGAGTGATGAAGTCCCATCTTGCCTTTCCAGTTCTGGTTTCGACATTCTCATTCTGGCTGTCACTGGCAGTTGGAACAATGCTGCCTCGGTAAATGTAGGAAGTGACCTCTTTCAGATTTATCCCGACGATAGTGATTGGTGCTGGTTGTTGTTGGTTGGTTGGTTATCTTCATCACCTTCGTCTTCTCTATATTCACTTTTGACGTCCTCTCTTCGCTGCCAGCCTCTTCTCAAAACTGGTTGGTTTTCACCTGCAGATCTTCCAGTTTATGTGGCATTAGACATAATTTGTTCGAGAAGTACGAATCTTCTAGAGTCTTCTTATTTATCCAATGTATTCCTGTCTTCGCGCATAATCCAATCTACCTCAGTTACACAGCTTTGTCTTACTCTCATCTTCACTTCAAAGGCTTCGCTGTGTTTCCCGTTGTGCATCATCACTTAACATGCGGCATTGTCAGACAGCTGTTGAATGAAGTTATGATTCAGCCTGGTGTGTATAAGAGATCTGTGTTCCGGGTTATTCGATTGTAAACTAACTGACTAAGTTAAATAAATCTGACCACAGAAAATACAGATCTAAGCTAGCACACAGCATTCATTTTTACATAGTAACAGAAGCACTGAAGCTGAGATCCATTCATATTTCTAATTAAATCAAGGATATTCAAAAAAGATATTGCCTTCAAAGTAAAAATAAAAACAACTTCATAACAGCAATATGAAAATCACATTAAACTCAGATGGAAGAATATACAAGAGAGAAAGAGAGAGGCTAACACTCATTTCTTTCCATAATAGAATTTTACTAAGGTGCGATGATAGCTAGAATAACTCTTACCCTATTCATCTATTTGTCTATCTATCAGTATATATATATATATATATATATATATATATATATATATATATATATATATATATATATATATATATATTATTTCAATGGTGTTTGTTCCGCTGTAAAATCGAATATATTAACTTCTGCATAAAACACAAAAGGTTATCAGCGATAATCATCATCATCATAATAATAATAATAACTGATTGACAGAAAATGAAAAAAGATGTAATTGTTTGTTTTAAAACAAGGAAGCCTAGTTTTTTTCCACCCGCTAAATAAATCAGCGGATTTTTTAAAATAACTGACTGATCACTTAGAATAGGCATGAAAAAAGATTTATTCAGGGAAAAAAACTTTCCGAGGATATTTGTTGTGAATTCGATATACGAAGGTGAGATTCACTGAAAAGCCGTCATCATACAAGTGTACCAAACACACTTTCTATGGTCAACAAATACACACAGAGTATGTACTCAATTTAGTATGCACTATGCGTCGGTGCTTCATTATTGAGATGCGCGCCAACTAACAATGTGGCCGGAAGTTCGATCTTCGACCGATGCACTCCTTAACCTCTCCCAGCCAGTAATAACACCGGTAAAGGGAGGATGTTGGGCATGAAGCTAGCAACCCCACCCGGTAAAAGAATAACGCCACTGTTACCGAAAATTTAAAGCCCTGCGTTCCACTGGGAATAAAGTAAAAAATTTTATAAAAACAATATATACTATGATAAACTAAGGCTTATGTAGATGTCTATATGAACCTATTACTTTCATATGCTCATGTCAGGGCTAATTGTATTAGACATAACAAGCAAGTACTCTAGAAACACACGAAATCAAAAATTATCCTGTATTCTGGAAAAGAGTGAGCACGGGAGGATGAAATCTTCTACTTGAGAACAATCTTCTAGTGTTATTTAAATTAAACTACTCTAAAAGACTATGTTTTCATGATTTGAGTATACCTGGAACACTTGTCGGTTATACATGAACAAAAACCGAGTGAAGCTATGTTCGAAAACCCTTTCTTTACCTTGACCCTGACAATGCTCCTTGTTAGTCAATCTCAATCCACTTCAAATTGTCGCAATCTATTATCGTTATCAACACTATCGATGTGGTGATTGTAGAGTGTCAACAGCACTTGAACCACTTTAAACCTCTTAATATCAGTTCGTTTCTTGAAAAACAGACCTTATTCATTCATTTCATCCGCATCAACCTTATCCGTCTCAAAATTGTAATAGCTTAAAGTTTTGTCACAAGTGTATTGACTAAACAACTTAAAGTACCATTAAAATTACCATCTCACCTACAAGCCTGAAGATAAAGTCATTGAAAAACGAGAAATATTTCTTCTTTGGATAAACCTTTTATACTTCTATTCTTATTCAAGAATAAATGTGGTATACTTGGTCGTCTAAATTAGAACAGCGAAAGTAAACTATAGTTGATGTCGAATTTAAACCAAGAAATTGACCACTACTGAATTACTACCATTATTATAACTTGACTGACAGAATTCAATCAATACCATAAAGGACTTCAAAAATGATTCTGGTCAAACTTCACTGGACAACCAATGTAAACATTCCGGTCCTACAGGATGTGAATCACAAGCTCAAGTAGCCGACTGCTAACGTCTCTGACTGCAGTCCTATGTGAGGCTGTGTTACTCATGCCTAGCCATCGCCTTCCTCGAGGAGGAATGTTAGCTGACATAGGATCAAGTTAGAAAAGTTAGCTAGTGGTGGTCAAACGAAAACATGGCTTCATCTGCCAATGAAATCCATAACAGTTAGTTCGAGCCAGTCACGTAGGAATATGTAGACTACCTGATTAGGGTTCTCGGGATTCCAAGAATCAATGGCTGCAGACAACTGGTAATATGGTTTAAAATCGTTCTCAACGGTGAAGATGCGTTCACTCTTCGTAATCTCTCGAATCCACTAAACCATCATTCTTTCCTCCAACATTTCTTATTATTATCACTCTTTTGAATTTCTTTTCTTCACTGTTTTGTATTCCTTAGTGTGCTAAATGGAATGTTGAAACTCGAACTGCTGTAATTCTGTTAAACGTCTTATGCCCAGTCAGCCTGTCATTCAGCATCCAAAGAGGGTTGAAGATGCGCCACATCGACGAGTGCCAACAAACAGGAAACCGAAGTTTAGGGTTTCTTGTTGAAGCCCTTACCTCAACCATTTTTAAGTACCAAAACCCATTCACACTCCAGGCGAAACGATTGTTAAGCAAACAATGTTAGTTTAATCAGTAATGAATGTATGCGATAGCAGTTACTGTCATTCTTTAGTATAGAAAGTATCTTTACCTTGAAAGTTTTGCTATTCACTTGATGGTTCCGCAGTGCAGATTTCGTAAAGGAATATCTTTTAAGATTTAAAAGACTTCCTTGATTGATTATCTTATTCTATATCATTTTGTTCCTTAGGCAATCCTGACAGATTCACTGTTCCAATCGAATCAAACAAGTTTTACAGTGAGTTAACAACTAAATTGAACATGTTTACCGTAAAAGAAGAATACATCTTAATACCGCATCCTCCGGGTGCTTGATTGGAAACAGTCTATTCCCATTTCTATTCTAGCTATACAATTGTCACATAGATATAACATTACTCAGGCCTTTAAAAAGTAATTTATCGTATTTCTAGGAATCTTAATTTTGCTTTATAAAACAGTCTTTTAGCGTAAAGATTGCAGAAACCAAATATGTTATATTGTGAATAGGAAGTGAATAATTAATCAACATTCTAAGTGACTGAATCACAGAGGAAGGTTACATAGTTCACAAACTTGTACAATCGAAGGATTGTAAGCCAGCCAGTCAGTCGGCAGATAAGAAACTTAATCGAAATCATTAAAATTTGGATTGAAAGAGAAGAGGGAGAACATTGTGAATATGAATTCAGAGTTTAGGAAAATTGCAGAGTTTAGAGTGATATATATCAATAAAAAATTTTTACACACAATAGAAACCCTCAAGAGTATTTCATCAAAACATATACGAAGAAATTATAACTATTCGGATGGAATAAATATACATTAAATGGCTTACCGTTTACCGAGTACACACACTGTTTCATTTGCTCGAATAAACAATGGCCGACCTAGTGATCGTGTTCCATGCGGACGAAATCCAGGATTGTACGGAAATTCTTCAGTTGTACTAATTGTATCCATATTAGGGTCTGAATCTGGCCGATATTCACTTGTAGTTATCCAAACTTCAGGACTAAGACGTGGAAGCATACCTGTGAATATTAGGAAATTACACATACGATTATACATATTCTTCATCCTCAAAAGATAAAGATACAAGACATGAAGGTTAGCTAACAAAAGTATGCTAAGTCACTTTTCACCAATGTCCCACTTACGGAAACTGTTTGTTCATGTATATATATATATATATAACTTGATATGATTATGAGCAATAGTTTGTGCTCGAAACGTCATCAGAAAATATCACTGTACACCACTGTGCAGTTTATTAGTGAGTGAGGTGCATCGGCCCGGGAATCACACGCCGGATAACGACTGGTGAGCAGCACTGGATCATCGATGCACCTGGGCGGTGATTACTATACTCTTAAACGCCAAACTACTTACTATACAGTATAAGAATGAATTATTTCAAAAAATAAAACCAATCAGATAGGTGATCTAGCAAAACTGTAACTAAGAAAAGAAGATTACTAAACAGTTTATTGTTAGTTTTAAACGCTTAAATGAAAAATTTCCAGACAAAATATACACTTTTCAAAGGAAATAATAATAAACGCGCAATGACGAGATTCTTTACAGCAATAATAATTGAAAGAGGGCAGAGATTCAATTTAGACTCCTACACAGAAATGTATTCCTTCACAGTACTACTATATCATCTAGTAATATAATACATAAAGAGGAAGCAAACACACGACTACTATTCGTAGCAATAAAACATTAATTGAAGGGAAGCATAAAAGGTGTGAAAGGAAATAAATATCCTGTAGACGTTGGCAAGGATGCAACACTTAGTTTCTTTTTGCAGCACCAGCCATCAAACCCTTAATTTTTGGTTATTGTCTTCTATTTTTCTTCTTCCAAAAAACACATTTACACCTTTTATTAACCCTATTTACCTTTGATAAATGTGTATCAGCGAAAACAAATTAAGCATTTCTAGTATTATACACGCGCACACATTATTAGAACCAGGGTGGTCGGAAGAGAACTAGGCCCGTGAGCCGTAGTTACTACTTATCTAAACGCCCAGACAGGAGTTACATAAAGAGTGATTCCAATTAGCAAAACGTGTTTGGTTGAAAACTATGACTGCAATAAGTCAATAGGGTACAAGATCTCGCACCAAAAAGAAACGATATACGATTGAGACAATCAAATATAAAGCAAAGTGTAAAATTTGATAGCTGCAATATGACAAAAACTTGTGAAACTATAGTTGTACTTTTAGATTTTATGTATATGGCTATGTGCATGTGGTAGTGCTTTTTATAGCAGGACTGTCTAACCGTATTTGTATATATACGTGTGTGTGTGTGTGTAACAGGTGCATCACAGTGAAGACAAAACAAACGGTAGTTATAGAATGAAAAGATAGGTGAGAAAATTTTAAAAAAAACTACTTGTTATGCACGCAACAACCACCAGTAGTTAGTCTTTACTGTTTTACATGATTAGTGAATGTTTTAGAAGTGAAAGTGTGAGAATTTTACTGAAGAAAGAGAAACAATACACTTACATAGAATACAACTTAATAACTGTATGCACAGGTTGAGTTAATTTTGAACTATTAACCACGAAAGAGTGACTGTATTAATTACTAATACAATAATAATAACAACAATATCTACCATTTTTAATCAGATCAGAAAATAATACGTGTCATCTTTTCATACGACGAATCTACTCATCACTGAGATACGACGTGAGTACAAATAGCATAATCAGTCTACGCACACACGCACACAACTGCATACTGATGTGCAACTTGACACCACTTAATACAATTATGTTAAGAGCTGATTTGTAACGATTTGACCTGCTTTTCGAGTTAGAAGACAAACTGATATCAGTTAGAGGACTATTGAAAACCAGGGAGTACTGGACAGCTGTTTCATCCCAGTTGGGGACTCACCAGCAGTACACAACCCCCTGGATTTCTAATCCATAAATAGTGCATCTAAGTAGAGGTTCTTCTAACTTCGTGTCGGTATTCCAATATTCAAGTCTTTGTCTTCCAAGTAATTGAATAAGAAACAATTCGTCTGAGTAATCTGGACATTTGTGAAGAGGAATTGGACATCGAGTAATATCACGCTATTGTTGCCACTTTCATCACATCTCTGATACAGTGGATGAATTCAAACCCATTTCGAATAATTATGTCAATAGACCGAATTCACACAATTCGAGGTAAAAATTCACCAGACAGTTTTCTTTGGAAACTAAAATGATTCAGGTTACAACTGTGATCTGCTTGATATCATGAATGGTGGTCAACAAAGCAAGCATAATTGCATGAGACAGTATGTACTACTGACTGACTGACTGAGATAAGTAGTCGTATGCCACTTATATATTAACCAGTAGTGTTTGTTAGCAGCCACTGATGAGTTCGGCCCTAAAACAATAGTAAAAACCGCCTCGTGATTAGATCACCTCGATATGGCTAGCAAGCGCTACTACTACTACTACTACTACTACTACTACTTGATGTTAGTGGTATGCAATCACTCATTTCACTCAATCTGTAGTATATAATTTCTAAATTTAATGTAAGAAAAAACTGAGTAACAAACGGAAATGCTAAAGCGGTATAAATCTACCAAGAAGCAAATGACAGATCGAATATAGAACCAAAAAAGAGAGTGAAGTATAATTCAGGCTATTCACTTCACTTGTTTTGTGAATAGAAACAAAGACAGTTTGCTAGTATTTCTTAACAAGTATCACAGATGAAGAATATACAGAACAACTCAACCAACTCAGACGTAACAAGGAATGGCTGACAACACGCCCTGATAAAGACACTGCCAAAGTCCTAATGGATACAAAAGACCGCATGAATAAACTGTTGGCTATTCTTCCAGACAACAACAAGTTCGTCACATCTGAAAAAGAGAAAGACTAGACAGAAATAATTGGAATGCAACTCACTGAGAAATTGAGAAAGCTAAACAGTGATCAACTTATCTCTCAAAATTTCTACGAAATCACTCGACTAACCGGTTCAATAAAACCGTAACTACACGGATTCCTGAAAAAACTCAAAAATAGGGACTTCCGTTGCACCCTATTTTGGACATATCCGGACCTTCATACCATAAAATAGCAACATAGCTAGCAGAAATCCTATAGTCTGTTAGAGAACAAATTTCGAAATACTCTCTTCGAGACACGTTTGAATTCGTCGACTGTATCAGAGATGTAAAAGGGGGCGACAATCGCACGATATCACTCGGTTTCGAATCTTTCTTCACAAATGTCCAGATTACTCAGACGATTTGTTTCTTATTCAATTACTTGGAAGACAAAGACTTGAATATTGGAATACCAACACCCAGGTTAGAAGAACATCTATTTAGATGCACTTTGAGCGCTCAATTCACATTCAATGGTACTGTTTACATACAAAAAGATGGTGTGGCTATGGGTTCACCTCTAAGCCCAGTACTTGTAGCCCTTTTTACGGAAGTTTGGAAAGTGGGCCGTTGAAACTGACAATTCATATCAATCAGCAGTATATACACCACTATGATATACGGAATATGATATTTAAATTATGGATGTGGGGGTGGCTGAAGGTTGGGAAGGAGAAAAAAAGTGTCAAAAAGTTTTCCCTCAAATACAACTAATAAATCGATAGAGAATGAAGGAGATATTCGTTCGAAATGACAGAACCCAACGCACCTTTTATAAAATATAAAACCAATAACAGATAAACAACTGGCTTAATGAATAAACACAAACAACTAAATGACACTACCATAAACGTCCTTAAAAAGGGAATAATAATAATAATAATAATAATAATAATAATAATAATGAACAACAAAAAAGACATGCTAAATTATAACCACATTAAGGTAATTTCTTACAAAGGCTGGTTTATCTTTTGTTCTCTAACTAGTCCAATGTACCAAAAATATAAATAGGCAAATAATAAGGCTATGTGTAATGTGTGGAACAGGGTGAATCCATCCACCTTCTTGTCCTCACTTATAGAAATGGAGAAATGCTACACAGACACAAAAAGCCATTAGGCTAGGCTAAAAAAGAGGTGGATATCACAACATATATTATGGAATATCTATATAAGAGAGGATACCACCTTAGAAATAGAAATACAAAACAAGATAGGCATTATATGTGCACACACAGGCAAATTAATTGGTCAATTATAGAAACAAATGAAATCCATCCAATGCTTACATGAAGACGATGTGAAATCTGTAGATAATCATTAATTTTGTTGTTTGGTTTCATTGCTTACAAAACACAAATAGATAGATCACGACTAATGAACAGAGTTATTTTTAACCGCAGGAAAGGTGTCATAAGTAGTTCTAAAGACAAAGGAAGATCCTGAAGAGTCGCTTATGCAGACCACTGAGGAAAGCCTTCGTTGCGACTGACCTACGGATCATTTTCTGCAGCCGACAAATGATCAATGGATGTGTGAAGGATAAGACTGCCGCTTCGGGCAACTTCAATGTGTGTTTATAAATTCACCTGCTCGTGTGGAGCTGGTTATATTGACCGAACAAACCGCACACTTTCCAAACGCATCTCTGAACATTATTCGGCATGGTTAGCAAAAAGGACAATACGAGACAATTACTAGATCAATTCTCGCGCACTTGGTGAACTCAAATTACGTAGCCCCCCCCCCTCCAGAGTCATCTTTCAAGATCATCTATAAGATGAGGCCGAAAGGTACAAAGGACGTCAGGGTTCAGCATTGGTGTATGGCGGAGGCTTTGAAAATTCGTCAATACAACCCCGAACTCTATATAAAAAGACAGTTATGTTAATATCCAGAATGGATGTGGCAACAGAAGGATGATGTTCCCCATAAAAGGACCAGCAATCAACATATACGCTGTCTTTTTACTTTTCAAAGTGTGCATTGATACAAAGGTGTGATTCATGAATTGTACGCATGAACTCATTTTACAGAGCTACCTGACACCACTGGTTTCTTTATACCTAGACAACCTAATAACTTTTGATTTAGTTGTTTTCT